CCCAGGCATGAGTCCTTGACATCAGATTCTGAACTGAAAACAGTGTCCCGTGGATCATTAACCTTTATTTCAAATACACAAGCCTGTTGAAACGTTCTTGCAGCAAGTACATTAGTCCAGTCACCAGGTTCCTCGGATAAATCAAAATCAAAGTCTAAAATAGGAAAATCCAATCGAAACTCAGTTGCCCCAAACTCCTCTTTTAGTCTATCACAAATAACGCTGCTAAGACCGTTTCGGTATGAGAAGAATAGAATAATCGAGGAAGGTTTGAGTGCCACAGCAGAGCGGGCAGCAGCAGTGAGTTGCTGAATACGCAATTTTAAGCCCCTACTCTTATGATGGGAAGGGGATCGGAAGCCAGTCCAAGTAATGTATTTAGGGTTCCTGTCGGAGACAACAATCCAGACAGGGTTCCTATGGAGTGTGCAAACTATATCAACATGGACATGTTTGTGGTTGACACAAGGGTCGGTTTGCTGTGCAATTGGGGCTAAGGTTGAGAAAGGGATTGGCTTGCAAACGCGAGAAACCCCAGTAATGAAAGGCTGCCGGAGAATGTGAACAACTGCCTCAATGTGTCCGATATTGACACTGCCAAAATTACAGTTGAAATTAACAAAAAAGATACCCGTCAAATACAAGACAGACACTCCACAATCACAATCACTCCATTCCATTCCAGTTCACAAGTAATGAAAGGCAAAGGAGATGACAATTATTCGTTTGTTTACTTTTCAGTCGATATATTTCCACGATAAAATCATTAAGCAGCTAAGTGGGTTCAGATTATTTGGAGACTAAATAGAATTAGATGCCATGCCATAAAAAACTCAATAAAAAAAAAACTCAACTCATGCATAAACAAGTAAAGAAATGAAAAGCAAACCAGATGATAATTATTTGTTTGTTTGTTTTTGGAATTTCATTGATTCAGACGATACATTTCGAATTTCATTATAATAGAATGAGATGACGTGAGAATGAATGGGCAAGCAATTCAGTGCAAACCTCTTGATGTTGGTGAGGGGAGTTGAAGAAGTGGAGGAGGAGGCGGCGGAGGAGGAGCGGGAGAGAAAAGTGAGTTCGGAGTGAACCAGTTTGAGAAGAGTGCGTTTGATGTTGGTAGGAGCTGGCAATCCCTCTATCCGCCCTATCACAAATCTGCATCTCTTCCTTGCCAATTCCAATTCCACTGCTGCTTGTTGTGCTGCATATGCATATGCATCTGCGTCTGCTTCTGCTTCTGCTTCTGCCCCTGCTCCATCAATCACTTCCTTTCTTCCGACTTCCATTTTTGCTCGACAAAGTACTCCAACAAGAAGATACTCTATATACATATGAGGCACGAACGGCAGGCCCAACGCCTTTTATATACTGTGGCTCGGCTCACTAAAAGCCCATTTATCTCACTTGGACCAACTCATGCAACACGAAAAGAAGTCCATCGATGTCAATGCTGTCCTGTGGTCGGCTGTGTCTTTCTATTCCAGTTTCCACCCCTTTTGTTTCTCCTCCTCCCTCTCAAATTGTCAATTCTACCATTCCATTCCACAGTGACAGTGTTAACAGTGCATTGCAGCGCCGCAGACGACGGGTCCGGGGCCTTCTCTTCGTCTTCTCCGGTATTCCATCTTCTTCTTCTCGCTACTTTTCCTCAACTATTTGTTTATTTATTTTTATTATTTCTGCTGCTGCTGATATTTCTCTTCTGTTTTATTCTTCATTTTTTCTGCCCAACCAACCCAGCCTAGGGCTTTTGATTTAGCCAGTTGTTGTTATTGCAAATTACTTCGTTCACATCTTTTGGGCTTAACCTGCAATTAATACCCCTTTTGATTAAATATTAAAGGTTACAGATTAAAGATTAAATATCATGCTGGATAGGATAATCTGGTGTAAATTATAACAATCCTCTGAATTTTTTTTTAATTTCTTTCGTGCTAAGCCAAAATATATATTCATTATAATGTCATTTCATCTGCTATAGGTGAAGCAATGGCCGTTGAAGAGGACTCCGTTGAACAAGTACTTGCAGCGCGTCAAGAGAGGCTAAGAGCTCTTAAAGCTGCTCAGGAACTGTTAAACACTCCAGATGAGGATTCCGCTCAAGTTCACGATAACACTAATGAAAACAATGCAATTAGGGACGAAGCGTGAGTAGATCCTATTCATGTTTTGTATGTTAGTATCCCTTACCTATCCTCCATTTTCTCAATAGTCTTATTCAAGTATTGTATTAATTTTAAATTCACAAGTTTGTGGGTTGATAATGTGAACATTATTTGGTAATTTTACCCATTATGTTTGCAATCCCTACTCGCTCTGGATTTATATTTCATACGCATGTGTCATTTGAGATGATACTAAACGGTTTTGTTTGCATTTAATATTTCATGTATCTCTACGGGCATGAGGTATGCATGTGATTATGGGTTTTTTTGGGGATAACATAACTATGGATTATGTGGTTTCATCGTGAGCACAAGATCTTTAGGGTGAGGACAAGAGTAAACCTGAATAATCCCCAAAAGGAGTAGCTGAATGAAGGTTGGGAAGTAGATACCGTCGTACCATACACATATGAGACTTCTGCTTCCATTTTTTTTCATAGTCTATGTCTTCACTTATAGTAGCATTTGAATTCATTTCATGGTTGTATTTGTTTAGCTTAGTGAGATAGTTGATTTATAGTAGAAGGCTTGGTCAGGATGTTTTCCATTGTATCATTACTTATTATGATACATAGGTTTTGTCTGTTCTTCATGGCCTTTAAATTTATAGGACCCAGAAAAAATGGCTGCCTTAACCTTAAACTGTAAGTTTGTGCAGTAATACCAACATGAAATTCCGAAATTATGTTCCTCATGATAAGCAGCTTCAGGGGGGAAAGCTTGTTCCACCGGTGCTGCCAAAGTTTGAAGACCCTGTTGCAGCAGTACCTCCTCTATCAGAGAAGAAAGAGGTGCTTGATTACTTTTGAATTTCGAGGCCCACTCTCTTATTCATTAATCACTAGCATCTGTGTTTTTCAAAGGGATTGTTCCTTATCTTACTTGTGCTAATTCTGGATCAATGTTCAGGACCCATTTGTGAATATTGCTCCTAAAAAACCAAACTGGGAACTTCGCAGGGATGTGCAGAAGAGGCTTGATAAGCTTGAAAAGCAAACCCAAAAGGCAATGCTTAAACTTATGGGTATGTAATTACCATTTTCACCATCACCCTCCATAGAAAATTTAAAAGAATGAACATCATGAAATATTTTCTTAAATTGATTCGTTCGAAGGCGTGCCATAAATTTCAATCACCATTACCATATTGTTGTTTTCAGAAATAAAGCAGTTGATCTCTTCATATTTCTTTTCGTCTTTCCTGATATTGAGCTGTATGTCCGTAACTTGTATTGTTACTTTCCTCGCCATTATTAAAGTCATGCCTCCCCTACTGGGAAATATATCAATCTCACATGGTGTCCCATTGGATATTCAGTTGCATTGTCTAGAGAAGTAAATAGTTTCAGAACCATAACTGGGGCCCCAGTTCGGCCTCTGCATTAAAAAGATCAAGTCTTTTCCTTGATGTGCTTGGCTTACAATGTAAAGAGGCTAACATTGCATTTGGTTAGGAAATTGGTTTGAAGGTTTCAAGGAACTGCATCACTTTACACTTTAATTAATCTATCTCCTGTGACAATGAGAATCAACTGCTTAATAACTGGTTTTCTCTTTCTTTTTGTATTTTTTTGTTTTAGCAGGGGAACAAGAGAAGCAAAAGCAATTGGATGGAGACGGCGGAAATGGTGGAGAAGACTAGAATTGACTTTTCCTGACCCTGGCACCTGAAAAACAAAAAGGGGAAAAGGAAAAAAAATCACATAAGCTCTTCGAGTTAAACATCAGACCTTTCCCGCTCACTTCTAAACATGTTGAATAGAGATTTGTACCTGTTTGCAAGTAGTGACTTGGAAATCAGCTTCTTTTAGCTTTATTATTGATGATAAACTCTGTGTTCTGCATTTGTTGAAACTGAATGTATTCTTGTATTTTTGCCAAACAATGAAAATGGTGTCAATAGACTCGATACAAACATCCACAGCCAACTTGAGCTATCAACACCCTAGACAGAATGGCCTGCTGCAGTTCCAAGTTGGAAATTCCGACCTGTTGGAGCTACAATGTGTGATTTTGTGCTTGATTATCCTTGTTCTTGTTGATGATTATCCTTGTTCTTGTTGATGAAAATATTACAGGAGATAGTCTTGGTTACGGCCACCACCTCTACCTCCATCTAGAGAAGAAATTATAGAGCAGCACCTGCGCAGTAGGTGGATTGAGATGCGGTGGCCATACCCAAGACCCGCTCCGATTCCAAATCCAAAGTGACATCCAAGATCCAACTTCCAACCAACAAAACGAGTCAATGTAAACAGAGTAATTTTAGAATGCTTTTTTATGAAATGAAAGCGATGGGCAAACGTATTTGTACTGGATTAACTTTGATGGGCAAATACCCCATTTTTGGTACTTTGCAAACAAATCATTCATCTCTTTCCCTGAAACAGTCAATTAACAACTTACATACAAGAAAGGGGAGACTTTTACAGAGCTCTATCAAAAGTAAATTACCCACGGGAGAAGGAACAAAAGAAATTTAGAAGGAAAAATGGATGCACAACGATTGAAGAATAATCCACCCAGTTTTGAATGGCCATCCACACTTCTGGATCGGTCACTTTTACTCTGTAATGCAGAAAACTATTCCCATATATTGCTCAAGGTTCTAAAGGGCGCTAAACTCTAGTTCAGCGGCGAGCTGGAGCCTAGCGCCTAGACGACTAGGCGGGATCTAGGCGAACTAGACGGATTTAACTAAATCCATAATATTTCATGTAATTAAGTGTATATTTATACGTAAAATATATATAATTTCTTCATAAACTACAAAATAGAATGACATATATTATGAAGTATTTGAACATAATGAAAACACGGAGAACAAGCATATAATGTGTGCTCATTTAAGTATTCAACAAGTCCCTTACAATTTATTGAAAAAATAAAATAAAATGCAAAATGAAAGTTATCTATTTTCTGCCTAAATGAGACAATGCATAGGCGGGTCTGGGCGGGTGCCTAGGCGGTCTGGGCGGGCACCTCAGTAGGTCTATGGGCCCTTTCTTAATTTTCAAATGCCTTGGCATTAATCGGGACGGTGATCAACCGCCTAGCACCTAGGCGGGGCCTAAGAGGCTCTAGGCTGGGATTTTTAGAACAATGATATTGCTTATATTCTGTCATTCCTGCTGAGCTGGTTGGAGCCCTTATTCATGTGCTCCATGTTCCAAGAGGGGTCTACTGGAGGAAGTTGGAATTCATCCGGTTTCAAGGCCAATGCAAAATCGGGCAATGTTGGTGCTGTCTCCATGATTCTGCAGTTGAAATATCCAAAACCAGACGTTAATTATTCCCGAGGGTTTTTTTTCTATGTATCATCAGCCAAGAACACTGAGATTGCAATTACGGGTGCCAAGAGTGAAAAGGAGATTGCATTTAGGCATAAACAAAATACTATTGGTAATAGTTCTCTCAGGCAGGAACAGGACATACTTCTCGTGTGAGTACAGATCACGGTTTATCCGCACTTTGCTTGAAGCATCTTTTGGAATTTTCTCAGATAGATACTTCATGGTTCCCCAGAGCGGTGGATTTCTGCATAATGTGTGTAAAAAAAGCACTTAACCATTAAAAGAAGAACGATTGACAAGAAGAAGAAAACTGATCAGCTAATGGACATTTCAATCTTGAAACATCCAATGCTACATACGAGACGGTAGATATTCACAACACGCACACAAATTTCAAGAAGGGCCAGTAGAATAATCTCTGCTAATATCTAGAGATTGGACTAGACTCTAGAGTAGATAATTTAGGAGACAGTTTTCTTAGGAAGAGTTCTCGTAGAAACTGAACTCCATCTTAATGGATACTAAAGACAATTTTATGTTCGTTCCTTGTACATGTTTGTGTTTGACGTTCATGGAGATAGGGGGAGAGGATAAAGATATTGCGACTACAGCACATAATTTATTGCCCCTAGAAAAAACAGCAGATAATCCGCTAGATGCCACCCAATGAAATTAGCAAAATGAATACGCAAATCCACCCTCTACCCACCTCGACAAAGGGGGAGCAGCATTAAATGCTTCGCATGCCTTCTTACTTTCTTTGAAATACTCATCTGCTGCTTGCAAAGCAGCTACAGCCATCCCATGAAATTTTTCTGTGTTACCCTCATCAAGGATCAAACCATGATAGTAATATGCAGCAGCCTGGTTAAAATGGGAAGGTTAAAATTGGAAGAACTTTGGTTAGCTGTTCAGAACACAAACTTCAATCGTAATTCGTAATTCAAATCAAATATTCAACATTAGCAGCGTAAGACCCCTCCCTATCAGCTAGATCAACTCTAAAGAATGAACTAAACTATATGATTCTTCATGAATAGTTCAATATACTTTCATTTGGCAGTTACTCATTCAGAAAAGACAATAGCGTATCAGAACCTAGAACATAGGTATCAAAATCTGCATGCACGTAATCTAATGCAAGGGAAGACAAACCAAATGAGCGAGTAATCACCAACGTAGAAAATACAAATGACCAACTTGATATCTTTTTTAGATAAATGCAAGTGTGCTTTCTAGAGGAATCGCTACAAGGCCACTATTTTCCCTCCATAAATAAAACATACATTAACAATCACGCTTTTGGCTTCCTTATTACTCTCATAGACACTATCCTTATAGTGGGAGGTAAACTCATAAGTTTAGAAGGATAGTGGTAAGAGCATAAAAAAGACAGGCAGAAAGTGCAAAATACCTTTGCCTCAACATATTTCCACTTCACAAAGAGCCGATGCTTTTCACCCCAACCATTTAATAATGGAAGGTTCATAATGTTATCTTGAGCCTGCAAATAAATGGCATAAAGAAAGCAATATGCTTCAGGATCACCATGTGATTCAACAAACATATAATGTGTTCGGATGACAAGAGTAATCATGAGAAACATAGTGAACCACAGAATTAACAACTTATATATGACATGTAACTGATATGAAATGTATAGGAACTTCTCACAACTACTCCAAATGGAGAACAGCCAACATTACTCAATGTCGGGAAATGCAAAAGGAAAACCTAAGAATGTAGCAAAAAATTGGTTTATGAATAAAAGGAATACTGAATAGGGATATGATTTTAGACAAACAGCACAAATTGGAGGTTAGATCCTCTTGTTTGGAGTATTCAGAGAGTTCATGTTTTTTTACCCATTCTAAATGTTGGGTATGTGGGTAAGTTCCACATCATGGGCATGCATCATATATGCACATGAAGGCATGATAGCCTTCGTAAAAGAGAATCCAGCACATTACAAAAGACTACTGATAGAAAGAGATGATAACCTAGAACCAAACAAACTCATTAGTAAATATAGAGTAGTGGTATAAATGGGGTAAGCTCACCTAAGGCATCAAACAAAAGAGGGTGTATATTTGTTATCATTTTTGGTTTTTTCACCTTGCCATCGATGGAATCCATCATGTATTCACAACGCGGTTTTAGAATCACTATAATGGTCCGTTAATCTAGAATATCTAAATTCAGACCCTGAACTGATGCTATTCGAGCTGACTACTGCTTCCTCTTTCCAACTCAATTCACAAGGTTCAAATTCAAAATGCATATAAGCCAAAGGAGATGAATTAAAACAGGAACACAATGGAAGCATGGAAAATTTATAACAAATATCCCAGACATTAAATGATATTACTCATTGACAAGATCAAACCAGCAATCATGATAAATTTCTTACCTGTTGCCAATACTTCACCATTTCACATGCAAGCCTTCGCTTCACTGCAAGTGTAGCTTTTGTGCTATCTATTGCCATTCCAAGTTGAATATCAACACCCTACAGGAGACAGGTGGAAAGAATGAAAGAATGAAGTAAAAATTATAAATAAAACAAGGAAATCAAGCGATAAAAAGGGTCAGCAAAACATTATAGTCAGAAGACACAAGGTTCCAACTAAATTGCATTTTCGGGATAAGCTGGACAATAACGAGATGTCAAAAAAGAAAGAAAGAAGATGCATGAAAAACCAAACTTATTGCAGTTGTACCCTTTGTGCCCATTAAGCAGGATAGGTTCACAACTTCAGGCTGACTGCAATACTTATGTTTTATAGTAAAAGATGGCATTTCAGAAGCATAAATGCTGAAATATAAAATGCAACATTTTACCAGATCAGTCCCTTTAAGTAAAGTTACTACCTGTCCTAATGCTTGTAGGCAAAGCGCTCGAAGAACTCCTTCTGCTAAGTCAATTGGCAGATTTCTCCTGCAATCAAGGAATAGTCAAAAGATTATAAATAACAGCGTTAGGAACATGATAACAAGCAGAAAGTTAAAAATCAGTGCAAAATTTAAACTGATACAAACTTGAGCTCATTAGGCAACTGTGGAAGAACATGTCGGACGGCACAATCAAGGTATCCTGCTGCCTTCAGGAAAATATCAATGGAAGCTCGTCTACTCTCTGTAACAACAAGAAAAACAATGGAACCTTCATAGTATGACCAATGAAAAAGAAAGAGCCATGCAAGGCACAACCTAAAGGTAGACTGATGACAACTACTGCATACACTGAATTTGTTAATTTTCTTTAGAAGTCTTACAAAAACAAGATTTCTGATAATATAATATAAACAGGTGAAACAAAGAACTTAGTACGAAGTATCAAACACAAAATCCATTTTTCACTCGTCTTAGTGAATTCCTTAACATATCAGCATGCCGCTATTAAGAGTTTAATGACATAATCTAATGAATTTTCAGTTTTCTTTATCTCCGATTTTCCAATTCCTACTATTTTTCACTGAGTTCCTATGTCAACCATACTAGGCTTCACCCAAAAATTACTGCATCTGATTCTTAAATCCAGGCAACAGTTTTGTACTATAACACAAAGTTCTCTTAGAAACTGAGAAGACTTTATAACCATTAAAGCTATACTCATTCTAGAAAGCATTGACAACGCAACTTTTCTCGTTAACTTAACAAGCCATGGTAGGATAATAATAGAGATGATAAAAAAAAAAAAACATAATTAATCGGCTTTAGCAGTTTTCATGTGGTAATGCCTACCTTCTGTTACTTTTGGCTGATAACCATCAGCAGATGTTCTTGGAAGAAGTAACAAGTTAGCTTGTGATAATGATAGCATTGCCATTAAGTGCAAAATCGACAGCACCTCGTACCATGCATTAGACATAGCTGTTTCCTGAAGAATCATTCATTCACATTAAGCTAGTTTCCCTTTGACAATACCATTGAATCTGAACGCTATTTGAGGAATGACTGAATGAGGAAAGCAAAAACTATGATTTGCACAACAGAGAAATATGAGCTTTAAGAGCGCTCCCACATGCCCACCTCTGCATCATCCTCATGATTTACCCACAAAAATTGAACCTTGTGGTGTAGCTGGCTTCCTTCACATTATAAATAAGAAACGCCTTTAGGATTTACTAAAACTTGAGGATAAAATTAAATAAGAAGGCATGAGATCATGATTTACCATCTTTCATTAATCCCAAAAGGACAGGCAAATAATCCTCGAGAGCCTGCTGAAGATCGGCCAATGTTGAACCACCTGATGATAAGAATTCATTTAGATAAAGAAATATCTGAGTTCAGATATCATTTGGAAAAATTAACAAGCTTGTGTTTATGAGAACCATGTTGAGTAGCAGCTCTTCTCCTCGTTCTGGTAATTGTTGGACCTTCTTGGGCAGCCATTACAACTATGTGAGTCCTTAAAGCAGATAGGCGTTCCACTAAACTTTTGGACAAGTGATCACCAAGTGAATGAGAGAAATCAACAGGTTTAGGGATTCGCAAACCGGGAACATAGACAGAAACTTCCCCAATGTTTGCCGGCCTCCTCCTATTTCCTAGTGTATCTTTCGGTGTTGAGACCAGGCATCCCATATCCTAAGACTCGCTATATCTGCTAACCAAACAAAGTTCATTCAATCAGCATCGGCGGCTGTATATATAGATTATGGACATACGCATACGATTCTCTATGTATATGAATTTGCAAATTAACAGAGGCAGACTCTCTCTCACACATGAAACAGTGGTGAATTCAGAAGAGCATGCATATGAAACAGAAACGAAGATTGTTCAAATACTATAGTCCAAAGAATGGAGATGGGTATCACGAGGAGGAGGAACATAATAAACAGCAAGGAAGGCATAATTAAATGCCAACCACCAAAGTGCACTTGTTCACGAGCAACACCCAAATGGCTTGACTAGAACTCTCTCTCTGTCTTTGGGATTGAGATTGAGATTGAGAAATTAAATTTTATCAATTGTTATTTAAAAACAATTATATCTATTTACAAAGGTAGACCAAGTGTGAAGGAAGGGAACATCAACTAGTAGTATGTAAAGAAATAAATAAGAGTTGGGAAAAATTGATGAAATAAAAAACAAACCTCGTCTGTTAAAGGAAGGGTGAGTGATTGGTCAAGCGTTGTTGTATTTTCTGCAGCAAAAGGAAAAAAGAAAGAGAAGAATCAGAGAGGCTAGAAGAAAAAAAATTAAAAAAATTAGTTAGTTTTTTGTGAAAGGAGGAGAGAATGAATCACATGAAAGGCATGAGGGAGGCATGGCGTTGGACAAGAGTTGAAAGAGAAAGAAGGGGATGATTTCTCGTGCAACCAATTGCAATTGCAATTGCATTTGCATACGTACGCCCGTCCGTTGAAATGATATATGAAATGTGAATGTGAAAGTAAAGCAATTCTACAATTGAACTACAAATACTCTAAAGGAAAGCATTTGGTGCTTGGTAATTGGTATTTGGTATTTGGTATTTGGTATTTGGAGTAACCTAACCCTTTCCGCTCACGAAATAGTGAACTTGAGCCGAGGATTATGCGTAAAGAAAGGGTGTCCAAACAAACAAGTTGAAACAAGCAACAACTGGAGCAAAGCATTGAATTGAATTCTATTAAATTAAAAACCCAGAATTCCAGGCTTCAAGCTTCAAAGCTTGAAGCTTGAAGGGACTCCAAAGTCTCTAAGGCTCCAATCCAAGCAACTGGAAGCAATTGAATAATTGATAGGGTGAGAAGGCGAGAATACTTACCAGTTAACATAAAAGCCAGCGACTTTGGATTGAGTTTGCAAGTTGGTGGACTCTTTCGATCATCAACCCCAATCAGTCAGTCAGTCTCCTCCATTAACGATAATATGAGAAGGAACAAACAAGCTCTTTTACTCTACGACGGACACCCCACAATTACCGCCTTTAGCCTTTAAGAAGCTTTAAGCTTATTTGGTCTCTGCAGTCTGGAGAGAGATAGATCACAGACAGACAGACCTAACAGCCCTTGAAAATTTTTACAAAGAGGAGAAGGGCAGCCTGCCTTTTGTTGATGTAGGAGCAGAGTCGTCCAGGAGTCCAGAGAAGAAAGAGCCAAACAAACAGGTGAGGAGGACAGAGGAGGGTATTGGAAATTTGGAAAATGTAAAATTCCTTATATTTAAAATAAAATAAATAACAATTACAGCTTCCAAAAGCTTTCAGCCTTTTTGAGTTTTAACTTCACTAGGTCGACACATAATTAACAAATGGGGGAAATGGAGGAAATTGGAAAATTGGGATGTAACTTTCAACTTTGTGTGTCCTCTTCCTTACCATATTATTATTATTATTTTATATATCCATCACCATTTAGTGGCTCTCTAGTATCCATCACTATTTAGTGGCTCTCTAGTAGGATTCTCTCCTTTCTTTTTTTTCTCTCCTTCTATTATCTCCTATTTGAATAAATATGATTAAACCACGTCAATATCTTGTACTAATTTTTTATAGAAAAATAAAATAAAAAATGTAAAAGACGTTTCTATAGAAAAAAATATAAAATATAAAAAGAGAGGAAAGAAAGATGAGGAAAGAAAATTCTAATCCCTCTCTCTCCCCCTTTTTCTTTCCTTTTTTTCCATTCTTTCTTTCCTTCCTTGTATACTGGTTTCTCTTTTTTTTTTTTTTTTTCCTCTCTGTCAGTGTTAGTGCTCATCAGACGACGGACATCACTAGTGACTAGTGACCAGTGAGTGATGAGATAAAACGAGTGGTCGGTTCTTCTTTTCCTACGTCAACATTAACTGACAGTTATTCTTGTCAGTTCCGCACACAATTTTCACTTACACAAATTGCATTGCATGTTTACTTTTTCACCCTTCTTTCTATTTCCGGCAACAACTGTTAACTTATCAATTAATCAAAATTATGAATCGAGAATGTTGGTGTTGATATTGTAGTGCACACTTGTCGTTTGCAACTCATCTTTTCTTCTTTTCTCTTCTCAGAACTATAGAAAATATAACAAAACAAAGCCAGTTCCATCTGACTTGAATCGACTTCGTCCCCATTACGACTACATATTTCACAAAATAAATGACTAGTGTCAACCAGATAATGGTTCAAACCACTCCTGGAGGCTTATCCAAAAGTTTTATGGTGGTGCGAGCTGTCGAGTAACGGATACTTTGGGTTTTTTTTAAAGATTTATATCATAAAGAAAGTGCTTATATTATAAAATTAAGTGATAATACGAAGACTAGTCTATTTACTTATAAACACATACAATGTTCATTAATTTTTAGATGTAGAATTCATATTCTAAACATATATTTTATATATATATATTTGTAACCAAATATCTAATTGTTGTAAAGTTCAAGTTTCACATTTTTCTTATGGAATTAACTTGGATCAGCCGGTTCAAATGAACTTTACGCCCATGATTAGAACAACTTATTATAAATGTACATTTCATCAGTACAAAAAATCAATATAAAATACTAATGTAAATGAACTTTATCATATCCTAATAATTCTTATGGTCTTCGATCATGTTTAGTCATTGAACTATATACAAACAGATAATCGAACTTGGTAAAAGTATCGTAAACCGTCTATCTATTTTCAATAGTTAATTGATTAAACATTTTTTAATTGATTTTTTATGAGATCATCTTTACAACAAAGTGAATTATAACGTGAACGGTCTCGAGTATAAGCATGAAGTTATGTAAATTGGATACAAAATATTTTGAAGAGGAGTTCATCCTTAACCTTGAGGAGCCAAGTGTTGATTTTTATAAAATCAGATGGATAGATTCGGCAAAAGCATTATGAATTGTCTATTTATTTGCTACAATTGGTTGACTAAAGAATTGTAGTTTTAATTGATTTTTTGCATAAATAATCTTTTTAGAGTGATTTATATTGACACACCCCGACTAGAGTCGAGGCGTGCTGGTCGTCACGCGAGAGTAATGTGGCCAAGAGTGCAAAAGAAGTAATTAAAAAAATATGAACAAATTAAAACCAAATTAAAACTTATTTAAACTAGAAACAAGTAAGCATGCGGAAGTGGTCAAATGTGACATCCCACATCGTCCAGGGGAGTGATCCTTATATATATATTCTCATCTCTACCTAGCACGAGGCCTTTTGGGAGCTCACTAGCTTTGGGTTCCGTAGGAACTCCGAAGTTAAGCGATAAGGGGGCTAGAGCAATCCCATGATGGGTGACCCACTAGGAAGTTGCTCGTGAGTTCCCAAAAAGAAAACCGTGAGGGTGTGGTCGGGGCCTAAAGCGGACAATATTGTGCTATGGTGGAGTTGGGCCGGGGAAGTGGTCTCGCCTAGGCCGGGATGTGACAATTTGGTATCAGAGCCTAACCCTGGTCGTGGTGTGCCAACGAGGACGTCGGGCCCCTAAGGGGGGTGGATTGTGACATCCTACATCGCCCAGGGGAGTGATCCTTATATGTATATTTTCATCTCTACCTAGCACGAGGCCTTTTGGGAGCTCACTGGCTTCGGGTTCCGTAGGAATTCCGAAGTTAAGCGAGAAGGGGGCTAAAGCAATCCCATGATGGGTGACCAACTGGGAAGTTGCTCGTGAATTCCCAAAAACAAAACCGTGAAGGCATGGTCGAAGCCCAAAGCGGACAATATCGTGCTATGGTGGAGTTGGACCAGAAAATGGTCTCACCCGGGGCGGGATATGACATCAAACCCGAAATACAACCATCCAGAGCATTGGTAACATAAAGGTGCAGACAAACTAATTAAGTACTAAATACACAACAAAAGAGGAAATATCCCTACATTATTTGATGGAGTGTCAAAACCGCCGATTAGTCCTCGTGTGCCACGAAAGAGAGCGAAGGATATCTAGGACCTGAAGGGGCGAAAAACAGAAGGGTGAGTGAGCAAAAACAAAGCTTTAGAAAACACATTTCTCTTTCTGAAAGTAATAACCCCTCATTGTAAAACCCGTATAGTTTACAGAAAATAATACTACATAATACGAAAATGAATGTACAAAGCTGTGAAAACAGAAACATGCCAAGCCATAATATCTTAGCAATAGCAAATGTAAGCTAGGTGTAAAATCAATCTAAACTAGCATGTCAGTCGGAGTCACCTAATGTGGCTTGTACGACTGGACCTATTGCTCATTAGTTTATGCTAGCACATGAGCCGAAGTCACCTAGTATGATTTATACGACAGGCTGGGTGTAAATATGTATGCTCTAGTGTTACGATCACGTGATAGCTAGCGATAAATCGCGGGTCACCTACAAGTCGAAACTGCCTATTGCAGTCTATACGACAGGCTAGCATCTACATGGATCCAAGACGAGCTTGCGGTGTGAGAGATGAACATACACGTGAAGGCTATGCCCTGGCCCAGGGCGGGAGCACAATCACGGGGGTGCATCAATGATGAGCTCTAAATGAGTATATGCATGCTCATATAATGCACCCATTTCAACCACATAATAACTCACCTGAACTTACATGCGCCTCCGTATGATCATTTGACATAATCACAATTCTCATCATAATACAATATTTAAATATAACACATTTAAATCATGGCATGCTATGCATAATTAATTTAAAATATTTTCTGGAAACCATAATACACACACACACACACATATACAAAAACAAATGCCTACTCACTAATATATCGAAGAATCATAGCCCCTAGCCTCACTTGACTGCGTTCATCCTCGGGGTAGGTCTCCCCTATATGCGAAACAACTATTTTTAGTTAATTAAATGACACATACACAAGAATCTAGGAATAACTTCTCATAGTTTGCTCAAACGGAAGGTTTGAATATACGAAAATGTTCTACTCAAAGTCATAGACCCGCATGTAAAAACCACTCGTTGGCCGGAGGCCGGACGCACCCTCACGCGTCGTCCAACCCATGGCCATACGTGCGGCCACGCACAAGCACGTGCATGACATGCACGACAAAAACTCTAACGGTCGTTAGTAACATTCCGTCTAAACAGACAGAATATTCCATTAAATGGTAACAACGTTACCTAACGCCGTTAGAATATTCCGTTAACTTTAATGGAATATACCTGTCTTCTCCTGTTAGCTTCGTTGTCTGCCGCCGTCTGGTTACCCGGTTTCTGGGAAAATTCGTCGAATTCTGGGAAAATTTTCAAACCTTAATATCTAGCTCATTTCTCAACCAAAATCCATGAAATTTATATGGATTTAAAGCTCTTGAAGAGTAGAACAAGTTTGTACCTTTTAAAAGTCCAAAATCAAATGAAAAACAGCCTGAAAATCCCTCGAAAGTTCTTGCCAAAACTAAAACTCCTCGAACTCACTTGTTCCAATGTCAACTTCACTCCAAACTTACTCTAGGGTCCTTAGGGAGTTGCGTAGAGGCTTCCTCACATCCTAAAACCTTGAAATCTCATCGGGATCACGATAATACCAACTCGACTGAGTCGGAGCTTCTGAGTTAGCGAGTTAAAACTCATCCGTTCGTCGATCAGATGGTACGATTGGGTTCATGAGGTCGAGATGAGTACGATGGTGGTATTTGCAAGTTCAATTTGTAATGATTTAGGGATGGTTGTGCTGTGGTGGTGTCTCGGGTACAAGAATGAAAGAGAGAGAGTACCTGATTGAGCAGATAGGAGAGAGAGATATAATATGATTAGGCTAGGGAAAATAGGAACTAAAATAATTGGTGAATAAGGTTAGTGATAAAAATAATGTAAAACTGCATATGTACATCCACGTCACTTAGTCAACCAGGGTATAATCGTCATTTAACACACTCGAGAAGAAAATTATATAGAAATAGGGACGGGTCGTCGCATATATAATATGAACAGTTTCAATCATAAGCACGAAGTTATGTGAATATGCACCAAGCCTTAAGAAACCAAGCTCTTCTTATACTTTGTCCAATTATTGAGACTTGAGCGTGGACGTTGTCTTCATGTCTTATCTTTTCCTTCCATCCCTTATTGACACCGAATAAATAATAATGTATGCACTTATCGAGTAATTACTAACTTATAAACAGTAAAAAAAATAATACTTGCATTTCTCTATGAAAAAATGCACATATCTCACTTTTTTAATAACATATATATATTCAAGGTATGGC